TCTCGAATTAAATTGCCTTGGACCTTTTAGATTTGCCTCGGATTTCCTTGAATCTCTTTGAATTGCCTTGGATCTCTTGAAATTGCGATTTCCTAGAATCCTCTAGAGTTGACTCGGATTTCTTGGAAATGCCTCGAATTTCCTTGCATTGCCTCGGATCTGTTGGAATTGCCTCATATCCCCTAGGATTCCCTTGAATTGCATTGGATCTATTAGATTTGTATCGGATTTCCTTGAACCTTTTTGAATTTTCTTAAATCTCTTAGAATTGATTCGGATTTTCTCGAAATGCCTTGAATCTCCTTGAATTACCTGGCATCTCCAAAATTGTCTCAAATTGCCTCGAATCTCCTTGTATTGCCTCCGATCTCTTGAAATTGTCTTGAGTATCCTCGAATCGCCCTGGGATGCCTCCAATTTCCTCGAATCCCCATGGATCTCTTGGACTTGCCTCGGATTTTCTTGAATCTTCTCAAAATGCCTTGGATCTGTTAGAATTCCTTCGACTCTTTTTGAATTGCCTCGGATCTCTTGGATATGCCTTGAATTTCCTCGAATCTCCTAGAGTTGCCCGGGATCTTCTGGAATTGCCTCTAATTGCCCCAAATCTCCTAGAGTTGTCTCGGATCTATTGGAATTGCATTGCAAATCTCATGGATTTGCCTTGAATTTTCCCGAATCTCTTTGAATTGTCTCGGATCTATTGGATTTACCTCAAATTTCCTCGAATCTTCTTTAGTGGTATAGTATCTCTTGGAATTGCCTCTAATTGCCCCAAATCTCCTTTAGTTGCCTCGGATATATTGGAATTGCATTGAAAATCTCATGGATTTGCCTTGCATTTTGTTGAATCCACTTGTTTTGCCTCAAATCTTTTGGAATTGGATTGAATTTCCTCGAATCTTCTGACAGGTCTCGGATCTGTTGGAATTGCCTCATATCGTCTCGAGTTTCCTTAAATTGCTTTGGATCTTTTAGATTTGTCTCGGATTTCCTTGAATCTCTTTGAATTACCTTGGATCTCTTGGAATTGCGATTCCCTCGAATCTTCTGGATTGGCCTTGGATTTCTTGGAAATGCCTCGAATTTCCTTGAATTACCTCGGATCTGTTGGAATTGCTTCATAGTCTCTAGGATTCCCTTGAATTGCCTTGGATCTTTCAGATTTGTATCGGATTTCCTTGAATCTTTTTGAATTTTCTTAAATTTCTTAGAATTGATTCGGATTTCTTCAACTATTCTTGAATTGCTACGGATTTCCTCGAAATGCCTTGAATCTCCTTGAATTACCATAATCTCCAAAATTGTCTCGAATTGCCTCGAATCTCCTTGTATTGCCTCCGATTGCCTTGAAATGCCTCCAATTTCCTCCAATCCCCATGGATCTCTTGGAATTGCCTCGGATTTTCTTGAATCTTCTCAAAATGCCTTGGATCTGTTGGAATTCCTTCGAATTTCTTTGAATTGCCTTGGATCTCTTGGATGTGCCTCGAATTTCCTCGAATCTCCTTGAGTTGTCCGGGATCTCTTGGAATTGCCTCTGGTTGCCCCAAATCTCCTTTATTTGCCTCGTTATATTGGAATTGCATCGAAAATCCAATGGATTTGCCTTGAATTACGATGAATCTCTTTGAATTGCCTGAAATATCTTCTAATTGCTTTGGCTTTCCTCGAATCTCTTTGAATTGCCTTGGATCTCTTGGATGTTCCTCGAATTACCTCGAATCTCCTTGAGTTGCCCGGGATCTTTTGGAATTGCCTCTAGTTCCCCAAATCTCCTTTATTTGCCTCGATATATTGAAATTGCATCGAAAATCAAATGGATTTGCCTTGGATTTCGTTGAATCTCTTTGGTTTGTCTCAAATCTCTTGGAATTGCTTTGGCTTTCCTCGAATCTCTTTGAATTGGCTCGGATCTATTGGATATGCCTCGAATTTCCTCGAATCTCCTTGAGTTGCCCGGGATCTTTTGGAATTGCATCTAGTTGCCCCAAATCTCCTTTATTGGCCTCGATATATTGAAATTGCATCGAAAATCCAACGGATTTGCCTTGAATTTCGTTGAATCTCTTTGAATTGCCTGAAATCGCTTGGAATTGCTTTGGCTTTCCTCGAATCTCTTTGAATTGCCTTGGATTTCTTGGATATTCCTCGAATTTCCTCGAATCTCCTTGAGTTGCCCGGGATCTTTTGGAATTGCCTCTAGTTGCCCCAAATCTCCTTTAGTTGCCTCGAATCTATTGGAATTGCATCGAAACTCTCATGGATTTGGTTTGGATTTCGTTGAATCTCTTTGAATTGCCTCAAATCTCTTGGAATGGCTTTGAGTTTCCTTGAGTCTCTTTGAATTGCCTTGGATCTCTTGGATATTCCTCGAATCTCCTTGAGTTGCCCGGGATCTTTTGGAATTGCCTCTAGTTGCCCCAAATCTGCTTTATTTGCCTCGATATATTGAAATTGCATTGAAAATCCAATGGATTTGCCTTGGATTTCGTTGAATCTCTTTGAATTGTCTCAAATCTCTTGGAATTGCTTTGGCTTTCCTCGGATCTCTTTGAGTTGCCTTGGATCTCTTGGATATGCCTCGAATTTCCTCGAATCTCCTTGAGTTGTCCGGGATCCTTTTGAATTGCCTCTAGTTGCCCCAAATCTCCTTTATTTGCCTCGATATATTGAAATTGCATCGAAAATCCAATGGATTTGCCTTGGATTTCGTTGAATCTCTTTGAATTGCCTCAAATCTCTTGGAATTGCTTTGGCTTTCCTCGAATCTCTTTGAATTGGCTCGGATCTATTGAATATGCTTCGAATCTCCTTGAGTTGCCCGGGATCTTTTGGAATTGCATCTAGTTGCGCCAAATCTCCTTTATTTGCCTTGATATATTGAAATTGCATCGAAACTCCAATGGATTTGCCTTGAATTTCGTTGAATCTCGTTGAATTGTCTGAAATCTCTTGGAATTGCTTTGGTTTTCCTCGAATCTCCTTGAATTGCCTTGGATCTCTTGGATATTCCTCGAATCTCCTTGAGTTGCCCGGGATCTTTTGGAATTGCCTCTAGTTGCCCCAAATCTCCTTTATTTGCCTCGATATATTGAAATTGCATCGAAAATGCAATGGATTTGCCTTGCATTTCGTTGAATCTCTTTGAATTGCCTCAAATCTCTTGGAATTGCTTTGGCTTTCCTCGGATCTCTTTGAATTGCCTTGGATCTCTTGGATATGCCTCGAATTTCCTCGAATCTCCTTGAGTTGCCCGGGATCTTTTGGAATTGCCTCTAGTTGCCCCAAATCTCCTTTATTTGCCTCGATATATTGAAATTGCATCGAAAATGCAATGGATTTGCCTTGCATTTCATTGAATCTCTTTGAATTGCCTCAAATCTCTTGAAATTGCTTTGGATTTCCTCGAATCTCTTTGAATTGGCTCGGATCCATTGGATATGCCTCGAATTTCCTCGAATCTCCTTGAGTTGCCCGGGATCTTTTGGACTTGCATCTAGTTGCCCCAAATCTCCTTTATTTGCCTCGATATATTGAAATTGCATCGAAAATCTAATGGATTTGCCTTGGGTTTCGTTGAATCTCTTTGAATTGCCTCAAATCTCTTAGATTTGCTTTGGCTTTCCTCGAATCTCTTTTAATTGCCTTGGATCTCTTGGATATGCCTCGAATTTCCTCGAATCTCCTTGAGTTGCCCGGGATCTTTTGGAATTGCCTCTAGTTGCCCCAAATCTCCTTTATTTGCCTCGATATATTGGAATTGCATCGAAAATCCAGTGGATATGCCTTGGATTTCGTTGAATCTCTTTGAATTGCCTCAAATCTCTTGGAATTGCTTTGGCTTTCCTCGAATCTCTTTGAATTGGCTCGGATCTATTGGATATGCCTCGAATTTCCTCGAATCTCCTTGAGTTGCCCAGGATCTTTTGGAATTGCCTCTCATTCCCCAAATCTCCTTTATTTGCCTCGATATATTGGAATTGCGTTGATAATCCAATGGATTTGCCTTGGATTTCGTTGAATCTCTTTGAATTGCCTCAAATATCTTTTGGAATTGCCTCTAGTTGCCCCAAATCTCCTTTATTTGCCTCGATATATTGAAATTGCATCGAAAATCCAATGGATTTGCTTTGGATTTCGTTGAATCTCTTTGAATTGCCTCAAATCTCTTGGAATTGCTTTGGATTTCCTCGAATCGCTTTGAATTGCCCCGGATCTCGTGGATTTGCCTCGAGTTTTCTCGAATCTCCTTGAGTGGCCTAGGATCTTTTGGAATTGCCTGTAATTGCCCCGAATCTCCTTTAGTTGCCTCGGATATATGAGAATTGCATTGAAAATCTCATGGATTTGCCTTGGATTTTGTTGAATCTCCTTGAATTGCCTCAAATCTCTTTGAGTTGCTTTGGATTTCCTGCTTAAATTGGTTCGGATCTCTTAAGATTACCTTGGATTTCCTCAAATCTGTTTGAATCGCCTCGAATCTTCTGGAGTTGCCTCAGATTTGCGTAAATCTCCTTGATTTGCCCTGGATTCAGTAGAATTCGTCCGAATTTCCCCGAATGTCCTCGAGAGAATTACCTCGGACCTCTTGAAGTTGCCTGGAGTTTTCTTGAATTTCGCTGAATTGCATCTCGAATTTCCCCGAATATCCTGAAATCGCCTCAGATGTTCCCCGATCTCCTTAGATTGCCTTAGATCTCCTAGAATTGCCCTTAAACCTTGAATCCTTCCACACAGGGACATAGAACATCTCCGGGAGGATCTTCTGGACTCAGAATAAGTAGCTCGGTCCAGCTCCATACACCGTGAACTGGTCAAGAACTGATCAGTACGATCCTTTGTTTCTAGGATACCAATGTCCTGAAACAACCTTACCTGAGTCTCCATTAATCCGCTTAGAGCCGATGCGGTACTCCGGTTTTAGCTCTTGACTTTGCTTGTTGGACGCAACAAAAAATGCTAGAATATTATTATTATGATAGCTTTCTTTCTTTTACAGGTTTCCAGCTCAAGTGGACTCAGGCCTCATAGAAGTAGTGTCCCCTTCTCCGTCTTACTATCCCAATCTAGACAAATTGCGCATCACTCTTGGCGATTCTCCAGAAAGGGTTCGATGGCGATCAAAACAGAACCTGGACTTTGCCTTTTTGATGTCCTATTCACAACCTAAAGGTGAGTTACAAGCTTATTTCCTGTTAATTGAGTCACCCTTTAGATGCGAGATCAAATGGTGGCAGAACGAAACGTTTTTCATCAGTTGTCGGTGATTTTTTCTCATTTAAAAATTCTTTTTAGATTTGTGGTCAAAGGACATAAGCATGCTTTGTGTACAATTTTTGATTACTTATTTTTTACGGTTTCGTATGGTTCCTAGATTCTCTCAATATTGCTTTGTATTGTAAGGGATTTTTCTCACCAGTGTACCCTTGGTTGGGAAAATATGAAACTTAGGGTCGTTTTGTCGTTTTTCCTATCCTTCATAAAGGCAGAGGTATTTCTATATTTCCACTGTTGCTATTTTTGGGTTATATTTTCTTTTTGAATTCTAGTAAATTTGTTTTATCAGCCTGAAATTTCTTAAGATTCAAAAAGAAAACATAACCATAGCGATAGGAAAGCGCTGGTGCTGACACGGAACAGTAGAAACTTACAACCTTTCTGAAGGAGACAAAATACTATGAAAATAAGGAAAGCCATAAATGCGACTGACGATATAGCTCTAAAGCATTGTAAAATGCTTTTTTGTGACTTTTATGAAGTTATTACCCCACAACTTAAGCTAAATCCGAATAGATATGCACTGCCTGTAAAAAAGTATATTTTTGGAAAAGACTAGTGGTAAAAATGCCGAATTATTTGTTGATATGTACATTGCGCACCACTGACTACCTATTTCTTTCTAGAACTGTTCAGACCTCATTTAGTCCGCGTCATAACAAATATTGGCTCTTGATCGATGCTCCTATTTGCTTGTCGCTGCCTACCTAGGCATTTATGGCCCGTTGACCAATAGGCTGGTATTTGTTTTGACGAAATTTGTATATTCATGTCAACCACCTTCCAAAACACAAACGATTTTACAATCGTCACCAGTGAGTTCACGCGTATAAAAAGCGTATCAAATTTAGCATTTCTGATACGATGCCGGAACTCCTTTATTATAATTCTGCCCAGTTCCATAAAACTAAGCCTCATCTCCGTAGTTTATCTTTGAAATATTTTGACGCAGAGCAGCGCGTTTAATATAAGGTGCATTATCAGAGCGGGTAATTCTCTTAGCAAACTTCCATCCAATCTCAGAAACTTCGAAAAGATGAAGGGAAATTCCACAGGGAGCGCTACGGTTAATCCCTCCACGATTCTTTGGCGCGATTTCACCGCAAAATATGTCGTAATTTTGCGAGAAGTATGTCTCGTCAGGCTCCAACACAAAGAGGAGTGATTAGAAAGCCAATTAAGTCAGATGTTGGAAATGACGAGATAAGGCTGAAATTGCGAGATTTCAAAGTTGGTCAATTAGCCACTGTGCCTCATCATCATCTTAGAAGAAGATAGACCAAGATCTCAGGAACATTAAGTTTTTTCGGCAGTGTATCTAGAAACTCCATATCATTATGACTAGATATATACTAAGTGACATATAAATCCGAACACCCAGTTTAAATGGTTTTATTTTAATAAAATTTTGTACAAGTACTTAATGAAGCATAATAAGTAAATGATAAAAATTTCAAAATGATTGCACTGCTTTAAAGCCCTTTGACCTTTAATAATTTGTGGATGCACCCTGATGTGCTACGCATTCTCCAAGGCGCCTAGGCATGCTTCTGATCAGGTGCTCAATGTCCTCCTGTGGTATCTCATTCCAGGCAACCACCAACTCCTCTCGAAGTGCTTCTAGAGTCTAAAGAGGACGTTGCAAATTGAGCAATCTCCTACCCATCATATCCCACACGTGCTCAATTGGGGATAAGTCGGGAGATCTTGGTGGCCATGGTAACAATGTGACATCATTAGGTTGAAAGAAGTCTATTGTGACTCTTGCAACATGTGGTCGGGCATTATCTTGTTGGAAAGATGGATCTGCCAGGGTGTCAAGATAGGGTAAAAGATGGGGTTCTAGAACTTCGTGGATATAACGCCAACAGTGTGATGAACATGTCTTTCAACAAAAAACTGTGGATTCCTCCTTTCACCACGTCGCCTTCTAACCCTGGCACGACCATCGTGCATGCATAAACAAAATCGAGACTCGTCACTAAAGACAATACTGTTCCATTCCTGATCCCAGAGTGACCGTTGTCTGCACCACTCAAGGCGATTACGTCGGTGTTCTCGAGTTAAAGGGAGGACCCAGTGTGCCCGGTATGAAAACAACCCAAAACTTCTGATTCGTCGGTAAACACTTCGCATGCCAATAGGTCTTCCGTGTTCTGCAAACCATTCATTTGCAATGGACCTGGTAGTGGAGAAACGGTCCCTTAAGGCCAATAATCTTAGGCGGCGATCTTCACGGTCTGTTGTTCTACGGCGGCGTCCAGTGCCCCTTGCTCTTTGCGTACGGCCTTCTCGAAGCCATGCCTGACAACACCTAACCACAGTGTCTACACTTCTTTGCACTCTAACTGCAATTGCCCGAAAAGAAAGTCCAGCTTCCCGAAGTCCCACTATACGGCCCCTATCAAACTCACTAAGTTGACGAAATCGTACAGGTCTCCGTACTCTAGGCATCGTAACCGATCGTAAAGAATGTCAAGAACCAAAATCCGCCAACGTTGATTCTTTACTGCGGCTGAAATATTCATTTTTAGAGCGTTAGTGAATTAAAAAAAAGCAGTATAAAAACCGGAATGTCCAACTGATAAGGCTGAACATTTTTTCACTTGTTATTTACAGTAAGACAAAAACATTCACCAACTTTTATTAAAATAAAACCATTTAAACTGGGTGTTCGGATTTATATGTCACTTAGTATATTATGAAATTTTCAGGACATCCTTAAACTCAAATTTAAATGAGCTGCATGAAAAGTAACATGCGTTTCCAAATATCGTAGAAATATCACAGATATCCCCTCTACTTTTAAAAATTGCTAGGCGTTGATTCATCACTTAGTCTAAATGCTCAGAAAGCAAAAGAGATCTCTCATAAATTTAGGAATTAGATAAAAGAAACTCACCTTCCGATATCAGGCACTAATCCCTCTTAGGTTTTTATACCCATGGTTTATCGAAAGATATGTATAATAATCTTTTATCTAGTTTCAAATCTATGGCGTGTAAAATAAGGGCTAACAGAGGACTTACCAAGCAGCATATTTCTATAATTCGCTGAGAATCTTTCAAACAATTTTGAGAATTATCTATTTATCGTTAGCAAAAGCGCAATTTAAATTATGTTCATTGAGCTTATTATTTTTAATTGAAACATGTCTCGCTAAACGGCAGAGAAAAAGTGACTCCAATTTTGCAAGATATTTATAATAAGCAATTAAAAAAAGTGGTGACTGCTTTGTGTACTTTTTCGCGCTAAACACGAATCTGAGGTCAAAATTAGCAGTCGGTAGACAAATCTTAGAAACAACGCATAGGTCCACAAAAAAAGTGATCTCACTCCAAGTATGTTTTCCCTATGAAATCGAATCTGAAGTCAAAATTGGGGTAGATGGATAAATACGAAATCAAGTTAGACATCAGAATAAAAATGTTTGTCATTTACCTCCCAGAGAGCTTTGAATAGATGTATAATTGCACAGCTATCAAAAATGTACAGCCACCAAAAATGCAGAAACCTGGGAGCTTAATGCCTGAATTTCTTATTTGTCCATTGACGCCCAATTTCAACTTCAGATTCATGTTCAGCGTAAGAGATTTCATGGAAAAAGCATAGTGGGTCCCCAAGATAACATTGCTTTTTTTTAATTTTTCGGCCTGTTTTTTTTAGCTTTTTTCTCTTGTGACATGTACGATTCCCCATCTACAGGAGGCGAATTAAAACGCGGTGGAAAACTTGAAAAATGGGGTCAGCCAATAGTAGCATGCTTCTCCCGCCGGTTACCCTAACACACCCCCCCCAAAAAAAATCCTTCTGACAGATGAGCAAGGGAATCGTCTTTCAGAGGATTCATATTGACCCACCCCTGACCCCTGGGAACAGCAACCCATAGACCATGATCTTTCATTAACGACCGAGCACCCGGTGGGAGTGGAAAACCTTTTTCGTGACGGATGCTCGAGGGCTTTAAGTCTCCGGCTCGCCTATTTGGCATATTATTAACACGTCGTCAACAAATCGCACGGATACGGCTGCTTTTAAAAACTTGAAATTTTTTTCCAATTGTATCCTTCATATACTTAATATCAGCATTTTTCAACAGTTTTCATATTTTTTCACTATATTATAATAACTACATTCATACAAGACTAGCCTAAACCTGCGGCTTCCTCCGCTTGGATGCAATGTACAATACGTCATTTTTTTCCATTAGTGTAAAGGATATTTATTTCCGAGAAAGGAATGCAATATTCAAAGCAATGAAATAATACAATCGACATTTTTAGTCAACATTTCAATGCATCAATAAATTAATATCAAATGTAAAAGCAGAATCCCAATAAATATTACGTGAAGTATCTCAAAGCATATCCTGACGTATTAAGTATGTATTCACAGCATTATGCGTGGGGCAAAACAAAGCTCGTATTAAGCCTAAATTACGTCGATCACGCTAAGAAAACAAATGTCGAAACGGAGGAAATACACCATGTTAATGCCTTGCTCATTTCAGTTGGAAAAGTCACTGAGTACCTCATGTCAGATTTCATTTTGCCTTTGATTTTCCGGGATAAAACGTAGCCTATATGCTATTCCAGACTATAATCTATCTCATTTATAATATTGTTATTATATCATTAAGTAGGGATGATCTTAGGATTAAGCTTCAAAATTTCCGACAGTATCACTTAGGACCATCCTCTTAACAACATGAGCGAACACACCAAATAGATAGGATTAGATCAAGCTTTGCCATAGTCTTTACCGATATCAACACATCAACCTGATTTTAGAAATTTTGTGGCCATCCTCACACTAAAGCAACTGTCACTTGTTATATTGTCAAGGAGTTGAAGTAGGTGCGTTCCATTACGGAAACCATGTTGATTGGATGACAGAATGTCATTGATTTCCAAGAACAGCAGAAGACGATCTGAAAAACAATACTCAAAGATCATAGAAAAACAGCATGGAACAGTCACCGATCTGTAACTGCTGGCCAAAGAAAAATCTTCTTTCTTGTGAATTGGAGTTACCTTTCCTGTTTTTACGTTGTATGGAAATGCACCAGTGCAGAGTGATATATTAACTAGAAAAACAAAACGTTTGGTTACGTATAATAAAATTTTCTTAGCTAAGAAATTCGGAACTGCATCGGTGCCTAAAGAATGCTTGTTTATAACTTACATTATATTAACCAATTCGAGCGATGCGGTTTACCTTTATTGATCTTGCACAGATCTAGTGTGTAATATAGACAACACACAATACAACATCTATGGCTCGGAATTAATTTCCGAGGTGGAGATTCTAACCGGTTAGCAGCTACTAACACTGAGGTAGAATTTCAAAAAAAACGTATACATATTCAGTTATTCTAGTTTTACTTGTGTTTCCATTTTTAACATATAATTTATCTATTGTTTCAGGCACCTTCTACGTACAGCTCGAGGACGACATCCTGGCGAAGCCCTCTTACGTGACGGAGATGAAGAAGTTCGCCATCGAAAAGATCGCCCGCAAGGAGCCGTGGTTTGTGTTGGACTTCTGCCAACTCGGATTTATCGGTGAGTGTTCTTCGTTTGTTTGTTGTTATTGTCTCACGATGCGATGTTGTTTTACGGATGGTGAACTCGAGTGTACAGGACCGGAACGTGATGATGTACTGGAAGTTTTGTTAGAGAGTGGAGATATATCAGTGAAGTAATATACTGGAAAATAGAGACGCGTCATCATGTTTTTTTTTGGGTATATTTGTAGTTTGCAATGCAGCTACTCTATATTTAAATCTCATCCAAATCATCTAGCCGAAATTTTTTATTTCATTCTCGAACTACTACGCAGTCCCAATGCCTAAATACGCATGGGTACATGGAGCTATAGGGGGCCATAGTTATCTAGATATCTGTCGGGTGGACCTCCATGTTCGACGGTATAAGACCGTATACCACCTACCGACAATCACAACATCCATAGCCAAAAGAAAAAATATCTTGGGATGAAATTCCAACCCGCGCAACACACAGCGTCTACCATTACTCCACCGGGCTGTCTAGTATGATTCCAATGGTATGGGCCACTTTTGGGAAAAATATACTAAGTGACATATAAATCCGAACACCCAGTTTAAATGGTTTCATTTTAATAAAAGTTGGTGAATGTATTTATCTTACTGTAAATAACAAGTGAAAAAATGTTCAGTCTTATCAGTGGGACATTCCGGTTTTTATACTGCTTTTTTTTAATTCACTAACGCTCTAAAAATGAATATTTCAGCCGCAGTAAAGAATCAACGTTGGCGGATTTTGGTTCTTGACATCCTTTACGATCGGTTACGATGCCTAGAGTACGGAGACCTGTACGATTTCGTCAACTTAGTGAGTTTGATCGGGGCCGTATAGTGGGACTTCGGGAAGCTGGACTTTCTTTTCGGGCAATTGCAGTTAGAGTGCAAAGAAGTGTAGACACTGTGGTTAGGTGTTGTCAGGCATGGCTTAGAGAAGGCCGTACGCAAAGAGCAATGGGCACTGGACGCCGCCGTAGAACAACAGACCGTGAAGATCGCCGCCTAAGATTATTGGCCTTAAGGGACCGTTTCTCCACTACCAGGTCCATTGCAAATGAATGGTTTGCAGAACACGGAAGACCTATTGGCATGCGAAGTGTTTACCGACGAATGAGAAGTTTTGGCTTGTTTTGTACCGGCCACACTGGGTCCTCCCTTTAACTCGAGAACACCGACGTAATCGCCTTGAGTGGTGCAGACAACGGTCACTCTGGGATCAGGAATGGAACAGTATTGTCTTTAGTGAAGAGTCTCGATTTTGTTTAGTCATGCGCGATGGTCGTGCCAGGGTTAGAAGGCGACGTGGTGAAAGAAGGAATCCACAGTTTTTTGTAAAAAGACATGTTCATCACACTGTTGGAGTTATGGTTTGGGGTGCTATAGCTTATGGTTCCAGGTCACCTTTAATCTTCATCAGAGGTAACATGAACGCGGAGCGTTATATCCACGAAGTTCTAGAATCCCATCTTTTACCCTATCTTGGCACCCTTTCCAACAAGATAATGGCCAACCACATGTTGCAAGAGTCACAATAGACTTCTTTCCACATAATGATGTCACATTGTTACCATGGCCACCAAGATCTCCCGACTTATCCCCAATTGAGCACGTGTGGGATATGATGGGTAGGAGATTGCTCAATTTGCAACGTCCTCCTCAGACTCTAGAAGCACTTCGAGAGGATATGGTGGTTGCCTGGAATGAGATACCACAGGAGGACATTGACCACCTGATCAGAAGCATGCCTAGGCGCGTTGGAGAATGCGTAGCACATCAGGGTGCATCCACACATTATTAAAGGTCAAAGGGCTTTAAAGCAGTGCAATCATTTTGAAATTTTTATCATTTACTTATTATGCTTCATTAAGTACTGATACAAAATTTTATTAAAATAAAACCATTTAAACTGGGTGTTCGGATTTATATGTCACTTAGTATAGATTTGATTCAATGACGGCACTGTCGCTAAGTGACCTGAACACTTACAACCTGGAGCTTTTTGGGTCACTCATTGTGAATTTGAATTTATTATATCTTCAAAATGAAGGAGTCAATATAATGCAACCAGCATCAAAATTAATAAAGCTACCATACGTTAACCATACTGTTTTTCTCGGACATGGCATCGAAAGCAAAAATAAGCACATTTTTTGCAGGTATAGCATGAGACGTTCCAGAAATATCAGTATTGAGCTCTTGTTACACAGGGGATAATAATAAGGCTAGTTAGTCTGTTTGCCTTATAATCTAAATCATCTGTTTTTAAAACCCTACTTGGTAATTATGCTGTCAAATTACACCGTTTTGTTCAAAATCTACTTAAGAAAAAACGATTTCCATTAGCCCTTTGGAGACACGTAGGAGAACCCCATTATACATTTATACACTTTTCATAAGAACTGGTGACGTTATTTTCTTTTTGCTTTCTGTGTGTACCTACAAGATTATCTTATTCTGGGATACGTTTTATAGATTTTCAAATTACTGAAGTTCGATCGCCGCGTCGATTGGTTTCTAATTTTTGTTCTCAATTTGAAAAAAATATGTGCATCAAAACGATTCAATATTTCTTGAAAACTCCTACTCTTCTCTTGATTGATGACAAAATTCACCACAACAAAGTTTGAGTTGATGATTAACAGTCAAAACACTGCGCGTTGATGGATGATAGTTTCTAGAAAGTGATATGAAAGCACTGATCAGATCACCCAACCAAAACTATCATTAACATGTATAGGATTACCTCCAAATATGCATTTCTTGGTATCAAGCGCTGTAGTGTAATGGTTTTACTGTTCCTGAAATCCTCGGTCATCTCTTAGAATATTAGCAGCCGATACCAAGACACAGTTAGCTTGACAACACCCACGGAGTAATTTCCTGTTTCTTCTTCTTACTCGGTTTTCAGTCAATATATATTAATTCTTCTTCTGATGACGTACATTGAGAGTGACATGCTTCTATTCTATATAGGAGGACGGGGGAAAGAGGAGGGGGAGGGGGGCACACGGATTCTAGCGAAAGAACACGTGTGCATGTGACATGCCATCAATCTGGTCCCGCCTCCGAGATCCGCCGCGTGGTACCTCCACGTTCATCAGTCTGATACCGTCTTCCACCTACAGACACTCACAACACCCATAGTCTCTTGGGACGGGATTCGAACGCGCAGCACACGGCGGCTGATTAGTAGACTCGTAGCGACTACCACTAATATGTGCTAAATTTAATATTGTGTATGGCTAATTAGCTAAGATGACCCGGGTCATAACTTTAGCTAAACCTAGGCTACTCCGATCTTAGTCATACTTAAATCTAATCTGTGGACTAATCTACTTCAAGTAGCTAACTTTAGTCCTGCAGTTTGAGAGCTACACCTGGCAGTATGGAAGTCACAGAGAGGGCTTTTTTGTTTACGGTGCGAGAACAATAATCTTTAATTGCTTTGTTGATTTTCCAAAAAATAATATTCTTTCATATAGTTATTTATGGTTTTACTTAATGTGTAATAGAAACGCCTTTAATTAATAAAACGCCCTCGTAACTGGGACCTTGAATGGCGAAACCTACCGCTAGCTACAAGCTTCGAGGAGGAGTCGAGTTTTTGCTAGAAAATCCTGGAGCGCATCGGGAATCGTCGATTCACGACATAAATATCCGACCAGATGGCGGAAGCAGCCAGTCACAGTCGGGACGGTCAACGAACAGCGACCGACGCGTCAATATAGACCAGTCGACATTGTTGTAAATTAGTTAGTGTAGAGTAATAAATTAGACTTTGGACAGTAAAAACAGTATTTTCGTTACGTTAATAGATTTAGCTAGGTTTTAACTTTTTCTGTACTCTCACCATATGAACGTTTGTCACACATTCCGCTTTTGACCCACATACCTTCATGTGAGTTGTTATAGTTCTATTCTATTTTCTCTATGAGCGCAAAAGAGGTGATATATAGAATGTAACATATCTTCTGGGCGAGGATAGAAAGGATGCTATAATACGGTTTCTCCAAAGAGTAATGGAATACGGTATGTTACAACTCGAGCATCATGCAGAATGTAAATCATGAAAATGACATCATTCGCTCAGGTTGCATATTTATTCAATGGTATGAATAGAATAAAGCTTTGTTGGTTTCTCAGTTATAAAAAATCAGATAAGAAATTGACAACACATATAACTCGTCGAGGAAGCACGTGTATTGCGGCGTAATATAAATTACATTTTTTGAAAGTGCATACAGTCGAGTAGCCAGCATATAATGGATTACCACAGATATTGGTGATGATTTAACTAGACTAGAATTCTTTGGAACTATATGGTTCTATTTCGCATATATATATATATATATATATTTATGAATATTTGTTTCTACCAGCGTGTGGAAAGTACCCACTTTCAACAAGCATCTGCGTGCGGAAAGAAGCACTTTTTCGCATGCAACAACATTCGCTCTCGGGGACATGAAATTTTAGAAGAGAGCGACGCCGGAGGCACTAGTTCTGCTTCGAGAACGCGTACAAGTTTTCATGATCCAAATAACAGTTCTTTACTTTCAATATTGTTAATAATTATTATTATTGAATTATTGATTTTTTGTTGTTGATTTTACAATCATTACAATTCTAATGAAACATAGTACGTATTATAAAAAATCGTATACCTTACACTTGTGGAAAGTGCTTTTTCTGCCATTGACGGTGCACTTTCTGCACTTGTTAGGTAAATAACTATTTTGAGTAAAGGGAGTGCTGAAATGGATTGGAGATGTTGAGGTGAAGCATTGTAAAGTTTCCGGGCTGAATAATGTAGACTTTTTCGGTAGAATGTAAGTTGTGGGATGGTGAGAGATGTGTTTCTGCCTTTCGATAGTATTGTAAGGGCGTTTGAAGACGTTTTTTATAGCGGTCTCTTTATGGTTAAAGAGTAAAAGTAGAGTGTTATAGATTTGCATTCCCGGTAACATTAATAAATCATTGAGCTCAATTACATGACTACCT